TCTCAATAAACTATTTATAATAAGAATCAACAATATGGCTGCCATTTTATATTACAGTTACAAAAAAGTATCAGATAAAATTCCATTTGCATGCATTTCGACATACATTGAATGGATATGTATGTACTAGTTAATAAAAAATTTCATCTCATGTTATTACGATATAATAACTTGTTCTATATATGCTGATGAAAAGCATGAAATATACATTCAACTAAATGAATTTATCACTTTTCCTTCAATCATAAATAGATTAGGAATGTTTGGACAAGTTGATATATTTCTGAATATGTTATAACTTTATATATTTTTATTGGGTATTTTATTTTGTGTAGAAGGTGTCCCGTAATTGGTGATACAACTGATACAAATTTTATGTGAAAAAACAAGTCAAAAGAAAGAATAAAATTTTTTTATAAAAGCTTTCGTTTCCGAGAAAATCAAATTTGTAAATTTGTTAAGTATGTTTGAATTGAGTTAACTATGAATATTTTTTAGTTGATTCAAACGCAAATCCTTAAATATCTCAATGTATGAATAAATGGACTTGTGCTATTTTAAAAAAGACGACTCATATGTGAATGTAGTGATAACTAGGAAAGGAAGATCATCTATAGTAGATATATGATCTATATTATATTTGATTAGATGCCGCCTTAGAAAAAAAAAAGAAAATACTAAATTTACATCTTCACATAAAGAATGACATTACTCAATGGGATGCGTCTCTTTACAGAATGACCTACTCAGTTCCGATCAAAACGCATGGGATACCCCGCATAATCTGTACCTCGTTCGAGTTATCATATATGTACAATAATTATATACTTCATTCATGCTAATGATCAAAAAGACGATTGGCAATTCTTTCTCATTGCTCGTTTGGTAAATCACGATCTCCCACAACGCCATCTGACGCCATGTTTCGCAGGTATCTAGTGTCAAGTCGAAAGAGAGGAAAGAGAGAGAAAGAGAGAGAAAAAACAGACATTTACTACACGGAGGAATTCGAAAATTCAAACGGGCAAGTTTAGTCGATAGGAATGCGTTAAAAGTGTCGAAAGCCTTGTGCAGCTCCCGAAAATCGTGGTCGTCGTAGGGAAACACGCGTATATTTTGCTGCTTAAATATTGGTGTGTCGTTCGGTGGTAATTTCGGCGGGAGATACGATCGCGTGATCAAGGCCGCTCTTTGAGAAGTCGTCCTTGTATTCCGTTTTTCGAGAGGGAACAGCCTGGGGAAAGACGAACAAATCGTGGACCTCCTTGGAGGAGCAACACGGTGAATCGAGAACAGATCCGTAACATGGCCACAGAGAACAGGTATATCATCGTTTATTCATTATCAGTGATCGCCGATACTAATCTGCAAATTATATTTTGTCCCATCGTCCTCGTCGGTTTTCCAGTTCCTGGTGATTCTCTCACTCTCTTCCCAGCTAACCGTTCTCTTCCCTGTTATTTACACGACAGGTGAGTTTTTTTTTCCGTGTGATTCACATCGAGCGTAGCCTCGGATGGATACTAAACACGCACGGTCTGCGATCGTCGTAACGCGTTTGAAATAATTCTTCCGATTGTACACAGCCAGCACGTCAATGTCTAACCTATAAATCTAGAAAATTCTTACCTAACGAAACTGTTGTATTACTATTTAGATTGGTTAATTGAGATTTGTAATTTAGTAAAATTGTTCCGTGGTGAATGAGAAAATGTCTTTAGATACGCTTTATTTTTTCAGACGTGCATCTTGCAAAACGTAAACCCACAGCCTTTGCTAAGAGTTTGAAAAAATAGAAGTGATTGATATATAAACGTTGCAAACGGCCGAACAAGAGTGTTACCTGTCGTTGGGATTGAACGACACTAAACGAGATACCAATAAGAGAGAAACTGTAAATAACTTGATGGAAATTTTTGTGGAGCTCGTCTTGAGGAACGAGATGTATTGAAATATAAGATACATGGTTCATATTTGAAGTTTCATGTTACTCGTTCGACTATTGATCAGAATACAATTAATACTTCGTATGAATTCAACTTGTTTCTTCACAAATTACATTTAACCCTGTTTCCTACGAACGTTTAATCGATAGAGTATTACACGTCCAATGAGAAAATACACAACAGGGGAAATGTTCAAATTTCGTTAGTGACAAACGTGTAATATATGCCTTTTGTTTGCAAATTTTCTTTTATAAATTTATACCTATCGCAAGTCTATGTAACTAGTAGTACCTTTACTTTGCTTAGTGCACTCTGCTGTAATAATTGCCCTATTAAGGAATATAAAAGCTCTCTAGCAGATTTAAGCATTCTTTTGTAGCATTTTATATATTTATTTTGACTATGTATCATACTATATATCCGCCGCAAATAATGGTGCAGATAATGGGTGGCCAACAGGCAAATGGACAGTGTCCATCAGTTCAACCACACACAATGCACATTCATGGTGCAAGCGCATTTCATCAGGCAGAATATGCAAAGTATCATCCAGATGCTTGTTCTCAGAATAGACATATGATTCAAGTATGTTGTTAAGTTTGTTATAATCGAATGACTTTTAATTGTTTGTGTGGATCAGTCGATGGATTGAGTACAAGCAGTATTCTTGCAGACAGGATCTTATCCATTGGAGTTATTGATGGGGGTTGAGATACCATCTTTGCGACATGTAGAATACATGCAGTCGAGTAACAACACCCAACGTGGACACTGGCAGAGACACGTAAATACGTCGAACAACGCACCTCTCATACACTCTCCGCATCTAACTTTCAGACCAAACAATAACGGTTTGGCAAGCAAAAAGTCAAATTGGTACAACAAATTGAACAAGAGAACTTCGTTCCGTGAATCCTATGTAAATAACGAGAAATACGGCAGCGATAGCGGTTTCAGTTCTCGGTCTCCCACGCCGAACAAGCATCACGCCGATAGCAGTCGAACAGAGAGCTCGGATGAACGGGATTCTGTAATCTCCTTGGTGGAACAGAATATGAAGTGAGTATTATTAATTAAATAGAAAATGCCAGAGTGCCATTTAATTTTGGCAATGTGATTTTTTGTAATCTCATGGGAATTAAGAGAGTGTTCCCTTGCAGAAAATCACACAGGATACATCCAAGTAATGTCGTGAACAACAGAGTAATGCAGTATGGTATAATTTCAAATAATTCTATGCATCAGTATTATCAGAATCAAAGATCTGTTAATTGTTACCCCACTACCGTGTCAACGTCTAGGAATCAAGTACAAACTTATCAGAACAAAAGAAGGTATCATTCAGGTACGTTTACATTGTACAGCAAAGTCAAAACGGCCTGTTCGTTTACCTTAGAAACAAATTGCAATTCCAGGCAGAAACAGTCCACCTCCTCAAAGATTACCTAGGAACAAAAGATACATGGGATTCTTGTCACACAATTATCACATGTTTCCCAGATACGGTATTGCCCCAGATCGCTTTTTAGCCAGATCACATTTAGTCGAAGTGACTCGTTCACCGGATAATCTGTTCACTGGATCAGTTTGGGACAGACTTTCAAAAGACGTTTGGTCGAAGTTCATGTTGAATCAACAGACTGAGACTGTCTATAGGAACAAGATGATGCTTTGGAGATATCTTTATGTTTACATCAAAGTAACCTATGATTATTTCACGTGGATGTCGTGCTGTACGTATCAAACAAATGTTCAAGTTATGACGTTCATTTGCAGACTGCGTTCCCAAAGTATGGATTGTTCTTGGTTGGCTCTACGATGAACGGTTTTGGGTCAGATAATAGCGATGTTGACATGTGCCTTTTAGTGAGGCATACAGAAATGGATCAAAGGAACGAAGCCATTGGGCACTTGGAGCAAATATTGAAATGCCTTAAGAGATGCGGTGTGTTAATTGAGATATTAACTTTTGCACTAAAAGTGTCTTGACCTTGTATCAATTCGAATTAACGAGATCACGTTTTTATGCAAACAGATTTTATAGAACAGTTAGAGCTTATACAAGCAAAGGTACCGATTCTAAAATTTTATGATTCGATACAAAATTTAGAGGTTGATTTAAATTGTAACAACGCTGTCGGCATTCGAAATACTCACCTTCTCTATTGTTACTCTCGAAGTAAGACAACTGTGATTAATAAACAAAAAAATACAAAACAAAAGAAATATGTATGATGTTTTAGTTTCTGGAAGTATTTTCTCAAATATTTTGCAGTTGATTGGAGAGTAAGACCGCTGGTACTTGTAGTTAAACTTTGGGCACAATCTCAGAATATCAATGATGCCAAAAACATGACAATATCCAGTTATTCCTTAGTTCTTATGGTTATTCATTTTTTGCAGTGTATGTATTCCATTCCCATTTAATTTTATTAATCTATGTTTACATGTCTTTTTGTTTCTGTTCCTCCTTTTAGGCGGTGTCGATCCACCAGTTTTACCATGTTTGCATTCGCTTTACGAAGGTAAATTCACACCACATACGGACATTCATTGCATAGACATTCAAGAAGAATTAGACATTCCAGCCTCTGTACTTCGGCCTAAGAATCGACAACCGTTAGGGGAACTGTTCGTGGAGTTTTTTCGTTACTATGTCATGTTCGAGTAAGTACAAAGAGGGGAAGGAAACGTCTCACTACGATCGTATCTCGATGAAAAGACTCTATACTAAATAAAGTTTAATCAGTTTCAATCAATATGCGATATCAATCCGGCTGGCAGACAAAATACCCATAGAAGAGTGTCGAAGGGCACGATCTTACAAGAACGACCCCCATCAGTGGAAATATTTGTGTATCGAAGGTGGGTAACATACCAATTTGAAAGTATTCTGTCCTCATTGAGTGATTTATGCCTTTGCAGAACCATTTGATCTAACCAACACCGCTAGATCAGTTTACGATCCGGATGTTTTCGCAAGGATCAAACACGTGTTCGATTGCACGTACCAGAATTTGAAAGAGCATCACGATCTGGCCAGAATATTCGTCAAAGTGGCTTCTTCTTCACCCTACATCGTGACGTAATCACGTTTCCGCGCAAGCTGGTGCAGAAATACTCACACTATCTAGTATAACTTGGAACATTCGGAAAGCGGTTTATACATATATATATTTTTTTTTTTGCAATTGGCCTCTCTCGGTGCAATTCGAGGCGATTCGACTGATATACTACTTAAGATGAAATACGGTACAACGAGGTAATTTTTTTACGCTTACCTCGGAGCTAACATGCTCGTGTCTTGTGATAATAGCCTGCGCTTTCGCGCAACGGCTCATCTTGTTGCGTTTGTAAACTCGAGTTTTTCTCCCCCTGTCTTGTTTCGTTTCTGTTTTATTTGCTCTTTATAAACATCTACTCGCAAAAAGCGCGAGTTCACGCTCGTACCGCGAGAAAAAAAAAAGAAAAAAAAAGATTAGCGTGAGTTTTCTTTGGATATTTAGAATTCGTGGCGTTACGCCAAATCGAGTCGAATGGTTTAATGGTAACAATTGTATATGAATGAAACGTTTCTTTTTGTACGAAAGTATTATTTGTCGTATATTTGGAATTTTTTTTTGAACGCATCTCGATTCGTAGGCTTTTGTAAAGCTCCTTTTTTTTCCCCCAAATTTTTAAATACAGAAATACGGTGCCTTATATTTACACAGGCTGCTATAATTTATTTTATATGATAGCCAGCCACTTGAGAGTGATGATACAAAAGTTCTAGTTGTTCTTGAAAGTTACTTGTACCAGAATCGATGTAGGTTCAATGCAACGTAATGGAAAGAAAAAAAAAAAATTAGAAAAAAAGAGGGAAAAAATGTATATTTAAAATTAAAAAAATGACATGTCATTGAATTTTCTTTAGACTTAAAAAACATTTATATACAAATTAGAGAGTACTTATCCTTCATTTAATAAACATAGAGAACTTTAAATTTATATTTCAAGCAGCTATATTTAAAAAAAAAAATATCTCCTCGAGATAGCGAAAAAAAAGTTAAAAAATAAAAAAGACAAAAAATTGTTCGAGAAAAAACAAAAAAACAAAAATTTAAAAAAAAGTTAGGAGATTAAAAAAAAGATGTTCTCGTTCAAATCAATTATTATCATCAGGAACAAGAAAGAAGAAACTTAGTTAAAGTCAATTAAATCTTACTGATATAGTAATGATTAAATTTTGATGAGTTTATATATCACGTGCCAAACAAACGAATTATTTCTTTATTTCGTAATTCAAGTAAATTCAAATATTTTGCTCAAGCAATAGTTCACGTAAAATAATGAATAATTATACATTTGAAAGATCCGCAAGTAGACTGAACAATACTGATTCAACGCGTTATGTTAAATCTACGATAGTTTTTCCTTTTTCTAGTTAGATACATTCGACAATCAAAGTTCCTATTCTCAATAAAAAAAAAAAAAAACTTCGATTCCAGTTCTAGTCTCATTTTGATTAGTCTTTCGTATGAGAAAAATACACGAGATAACATATTAGATATTTAAAATATCATATAATGAAAAAACATAAGGCTGTGTTAACTGTATGAGATTTGTAAAATACTATGTACAATGTTTAGGCCTATGCGTACAATTAATACCATCTTTGTAAATTAAGTGCGAAGAACAAGAGTTCGTTAAAGAAGAAAGATCATTCTTTCAACGTTAAATTTTTCTTTTGTACCGTGCAAAACGATTCGATCAAATTTTCAATTGATCAATGCAAACGATGCATACGTCGTTTTATTTTCTTGTCAGGCCTAATATATATTTTCTGATTATTTACTTATTTTTGTAACCGATGAAAACTAGATAGTATTAAATGCCTTGCTCCGCTGCCTATAGGAATTCATAATCTCTCAATTCTACGCACACGTTATACAAAATTTTAAGATAATAGTGCCAAACTTTTGTAATTTTGATTTATGATTTGTTGTTAAATAAAGACTATTTATATAATGAAAACGTTGATCGAGAAATTATTAGTTTATTAGTCACAAAGTGGAGAAGAAAAAATATGCTGGACGAAACCTTTTTTTCTCAAATTAAATTTATTCACTTTTTCTTAAGGTTCTCACAATAAATTTCCATACTATATTCTGCAGTTAGCGGTGCGCTGTTGGTCGGAAAGAAGAAAAGAAAACAATTTTGCGTTGTGTAATATGCTGTCTTCTTTCTTTTCTCTCATTTTTCAAATTTGTTTATGCGAGTTAATTATCAAATTTGTTACCGCGAGAAGCTAGTATAGACAGAAAATAGGAAAAAAAAATAATAGCAGGGCACAGCAGTGTGCAAGAGTGAAGAAAGAACAAAAAAAAAAAAGGGATACGAATTACAAGAATCAGCAGATAGAACGATACTTCAGTCAGTGGTTCACATATCTTACAGAACGAATAAAATATCTCAAACGCTGTTAGATAATAATGTATATCTATATCCTTATAGATTAAGAGTTGTTCAAAATTCAAATGATCTTTTGTTCTTCTCTTGTTGTTCTCTTTTTTTTCTTTTTTCAAATTGCTTCGTTCGTATCTAATGTGTTGAAGAATTGTAAAGTTAACCTCTTCCTGCCTCCTTTTAGAAAACACCATCTCGATTGTATCAAAAGCGTATTCACAAGATCAATTATCTTTTTCTCTTTTGGTTAGTCATCTGCAAGTTCTAAAAAAAATAAGAAAAAAAGACAAGTAACGATTTGGTTCTTTTTTTTTTGTTTTCATTCTTGCGTGCTCTGTCGACCCTTGCGGTAAATAAAATATATATATATATATATATATCGATCTAAGCAGAAAAGATAGAAACTAATTAACATGATCAGAAATTAATAGGAAATCCGTTATCGGTCAGCGTGATAATGTCGGTCATCACGCCAAGCTTGCGAGAAAGAATTTCGCCTTTGCGACGATACTCAAGTGACGGCCTCACATACTGTTTGACGACAAAATTCAATCGGTAACGTCTTCGTTTAACTCTCATGATAATGATGGTCTCTGTCGGTCCAAAGCAAGCCAATGACGACGAACGTGCACCGCCATCGTTGTTCGGTTACTGACGTTACCACGTGTCCACGCGTTGCAAAAATCGTTCTTTCTTTTCCTTTTTTTTTCTCTCTCTCTCTTTTTGTTATCTGTAATCACAGTTGTTACATAGGAAGTGATCGAAAGAGGTCTGTGTGGACATGGCTTTTCCACGGTTCTGTAAAATTTCTGTGAAGATCATGGTTCCTCTGTTTCTTCTTTTTTCTCGGCAGTGTCCATTCTACAAAAAATGTTAAAAAAAAAAAA